CATTTACTTATCTTTTGTCTGTTTGAACTAACAATAATGCAGAGAGAGAATTGTGTTTAAAAATCTTCCACAATAAAGGTGAATTTTTCAGTTTCTTTCAGTAGTTCTACTTATTCTTACTTTATATATCTTTGAGGTTATTTTATTAGGTTTATGCAAGTGAACAATTGTCGAGCGTTTCTGGTGAAATAAAACTTATTTTATAGTGACCTTTGCACTGTAATAATGCATTTTTAAAGTCCCTTTGATCTGATATTAATATAATTACCTCAGCTTTCTTTTGATTAATATGTGCCTGGTATAAAATATTAATTTTTTATACTCAATCATTCTGTGTTCTCATATTTTAAATGTTTCTCTTTTAAAAAACATATAACTAGAATTTAAAAAAAATCCCTACTAGAGGAGGCGATCAACATGGCGGAGAAGTAGGGGATCCTGAAGTTCCCTCGTCCCTCAAACATAGCGGTGTTGAGGCCAGAGGACTTGGAATTCCAATTCTGGGCTGCAGAGTGACAGAGACGTCTCCAGAGGCCCATGAGGACAACCTGGCAGGCCATAGGTGCATGATTGTGAAGTGGAAGAGACAAAAGCAGGTAAAACAGAGTTAATACCTATCCTTCTCAAGCTGTTCCAAAAAATAGAAATGGAAGGCAAGCTTCTGGACTCCTTCTATGAAGCCAGCATTGCCTTGATTCTCAAACCAGACAGACCCCACAAAAAAAGGAGAATTACAGGCCAATATCCCTGATGAACATGGATGCAAAAATTCTCAACAAGATTCTAGCAAATTGAATTCAACAGCATATTAAGAGAATTATTCACCATGATCAAGTGGGATTCATTCACTGGCTGCAGGGCTGGTTCAATATTCACAAATCAATCAATGTGATACATCACATTAATAGAGGAAAGGATAAGAACCATATGATCCTGTCAATTGATGCAGAAAAGGCATTTGACAAAATACAGCTTCCTTTCTTAATAAAAATCCTCAAGAAAGTTGGGATAGAAGGAACATACCTTAACATCATAAAAGCCATATATGAAAAGTCCACAGCTAATATCATCTTCAATGGGGAAAAACTGAGCGCTTTCCCCCTGAGATCACGAACAGAACAGGGATGTCCACTCTCACCACTCTTATTTACACAGTGTTGGAAGTCCTGGCCTCAGCAATCAGACAGCAAAATGAAATAAAAGGCATCCAAATTGGCAAAGTAGAACTCAAACTTTCACTTTTCACAGATGACATGATACTCTACATGGAAAACCCGAAAGACTCCACTAAAAGGCTGCTAGAACTGATACATGAATTCAGCAAAGTCGCAGAATACAAAATCAATGGACAGAATTCTGTTGCATTTCTATACACCAGTAATGAAGCAACAGAAAGAGAAATCAAGAAATCGATCCCATTTACAATTGCATCAAGAAACATAAAATACCTAGGAATAAATATAACCAAAGATGTAAGAGATCTGTACGCTGAAAACCATAGAAATCTTATGAAGGAAATTAAAGAAGACACAAAGAAATGGAAAAACATTCCATGCCCATGGATTTGAAGAACTTGTTAAAATGTCAATAGTACCCAAAGCAATCTACATATTCAATGCAATCCAAATCATAATTGCTCCAGCATTCTTCTCAAAGCTAGAACAAACAATCTAAAATTTGTATGGAACCACAAAAGGCCCCGAATAGCCAAAGTAATTTTGAAGAAGAAACCCAAAACGGGAGGCATCACCATCCCAGACTTTAGCCTCTACTACAAAGCTGTCATCATCAAGACAGTATGGTATTGGCACAAAAACAGACACATAGACCAAGGGAATAGAGTAGAGAACCCATAATTGGACGCACAAATGTATGACCAACTAATCTTTGACAAAGCAGGAAAGAGCATCCAATGGAGAAAAGACAGCCTCTTTAACAGATGGTGCTGGGAGAACTGGACAGCAACGTGCAGAAGAATGAAACTAGATTAATTTCTCACATCATACACAAAAATAAACTCAAAATGGATGAAAGACCTACATGTGAGACAGGAAACCATCAAAACCCTAGAGGAGAACACAGGCAACAACTTCTTTGACCTCAGCCACAGCAATTTCTTGCTTGACATGTCTTCAAAAGCAAGGGAAAGAAAAGCAGAAATGAACTATTGGGACTTCATCCAGATAAAAATCTTCTCCACTGCAAAAAATAAAAATCAACAAAACTAATAGGCAACTGATGTAATGGGAGAAGGTATTTTCAAATGACATATCAGATAAAGGGTTAGTATCCAAAATCTATAAAGAACTTACCAAACTCAACACCCAAAAAACAAATAATCCAGTGAAGAAATAGGAAAAAGACATGCATAGACAATTTTCCAAAGAAGACCTCCAGATGGCCAACAGACACATGAAAAGATGCTCAACATCACTCATCATCAGGGAAATGCAAATCAAAACCACATTGAGATACCACCTCACACCAGTCAGAGTGGCTAAAATGAACGTCTCAGGAAACAACAGATGCTAGTGAGTATGTGGAGAAATGGGAACCCTCTTGCACTGTTGGTGAGAATGCAAACTGGTGCAGCCACTCTGGAAAACAGTGTGGAGGTTCCTCAAAAAATTGAAAACAGAACTACCCTAAGATCCAGCAATAGCACTACTAAGAATTTATCCAAGTGATACAGGAGTGCTGATTCATAGGGGCACATGTACCCCAATGTTTATAGCAGCACTTTCAACAATAGACAAATTATGGAAAGAGCCCAAATGTGCATCAACTGATGAATGGATACAGAAGATGTGGTTTATATATACAACGAAATACTGCTTGGCAACGAGAAAGAATGAAATCTGGCCATTTGTAGCAACGTGGTTGGAACTGGAAGGTGTTCTGCTGAGAAAGACAGATATCATGTGTTTTCATTCATACGTGGAACTTGAGAAACTTAACAGAAGACCATGAGGGAGGGGAAGGGGAAAAATAGTTACAAACAGAGAGGGAGGGAGGCGAGGCAAACCATAAGAGACTCTTAAATACTGAGAACAAACTGGGGTTAATGGTGGGGGGGGGGAAGATAGGTGATGGGCATTGAGGAGGGCACTTGTTGGGATGAGCACTAGGTGTTCTATGTAAGCAATGAATCATGGGAATCTACCCCCAAAGCCAAGAGCACACTGTATACACCGTATGGTAGCCAACTTGACAATAAATTATATTAAAAAATATTCTTACTGGCAACCTTCACTGGCAAGTGTAGTTTATTTATATTTATTATCATTGCAGATAATATTTGGACTTGTATTTAGCAAGTTGCTTTGTGCTTTTTCTTTGTATTTCCTTTCTTAAGTTTATTATTTTGAGACAGAGAGTGGGAGAAGGGGGGGGGGAGAACCCAAGAAGGCTCCACGTTGTCAGCACAGAGCCCGAAGCAGGGCTCGAACTCACAAACTGTGAATTCATGACCTGAGCCGAGATCAAGAGTCAGTGCTTAACTGATTGGAGCCACCCAGGCCCCCCTCTTTGTATTTCTTTCTGCTTATTTTCTCCTTCTTTATTTTTAATTTTTTAATTAAATTTTTGACAATGAATTAAAACATGAGTGAATGCTGTCGTGGATTTTTTTTTCTGATCACAAAGCCCATTTGCAGTTAGCACTTATTATTTGCTTACATTTAGATCTATGGTCCACTTTGGGTGATTTTTGTTTATGGTGTGAGGAGGGGGTCTGACTTCATTCTTTTGCATGTGGATGTCCAGTACTTCTGGCAACATTTATTGAAAAGACTATTCTTTTCCCATTGAATAGTCTTGGCACCCTTGTCAAACATCAATTGGCCATAGATTAAGGGTTGATTTCTGGGTTCTCAGGTTTGTTCCTTTGGCCTATATGTCAATTCTTCTGTCAGTACCACATGGTCTTAATTATTGTAGCTCTGTAGTAAGTTTTGAAATCTGGAAATGTTTCTGATATTGCATATAATAATCAGGCTACTTAACTAGAAGGAGATTGATCTGCTAAAGACAGACAAGATTTTGTTTAGGACATTCGTGGATTATCAAAATATCAAGTTTAGCTTGCATGGTTATTGCATGAGTAGGTTATTTTGTAATACTTTAATATTTAGAATACTCATTTTCACTGAATCCCTACATCTACCCAGTCCACGTTTATTTTTCTCAAGCATAAGGGGAGATGTGTGTTAAGCATCACACACACTATCCTCTTTATGCTTTATCTCTTGGAATCCTTAAAACAGCTCGATTGAGGTAGATACTGGTTTATGCTCATTTTTATGGTAATAGAAACTTGGAATAAGAATTTAACTGGTTCCTCCAGGTTTAGCCAATTGAAAAGTGGCAGAATCTAGATCTATAAGATTCCAGAGACTGCACACTCTAATACTATACCACACTGCCTACAGTTATGAGTTCAGCAGAGAATTCCTTATTTCCATGACAAAAATTTAACTGATAGTATGCAGGATAATTTGTGTCAGTCTATCAAGGTTCTTTGTCCCATTTTGATGGTTTTAAGTGGGATCATCTGTCCATTAAACTGAGCAGATCTTAGGCTGAATACACCCCTGAAATTACACAAAAAGTTTTGTTTACAAGGGGACTTTTCTGAGAAGAATGTCTGTAGGTTTCCTCAAATTATCCAAAGAGGTTAAGGGTCAGTACTCAAGGTTCTCTGGACTAACTGTAAAAGAATGTCATGGAGCCTAAGTTCTTGCAAATAGAGAACAAGTATGGTTTTTAGTTGGGATGATGGTATAAGGGAGGTCAGCCCATTCTCAAACCTGGCTTGAAGCAAAAGGGAATTGTTCTGAACCTAGTGGTAAGCCTATAGGCAGCAGTGATGGTGGACTGAGTAATGACTTAAATGAGGGGTGATGATTCTAGGTTCTAGACAATGATAGAGATCCTAGATATGAAATTCTAAACTCTGTTTGGTGCCATGGTGAACATCGCTAACAGTGTTTAAACAGGCCATGTCCTCTGTAAAGGATCATACTTTTGACCTGTATAACATCAATGCCTTTCCCACTGATTTCCTGGTTTCCCATGAGAGTGCTCTGCTCAAACAAATGGTTGACTATGAGCAGAAGCTGAAGACAACTAATCCAGAACAACCTAAAAGACTTTATACTCTCAGGTATCTGCTTCAAGATGATGAGAAGGTAAGATAATTGTGACTATTTCTGCCCAAATTGTGGTATTCTTGGTATAATTATTTTCTTCTTCAAACGATGAATGTAAGTTATGTGCTCTACTTCTATTTCTTTAAGAGATAAAGTATGATACAAGGAATCTTATGTGAACAGAAAGTAGGAGTCTTCAGATCCAAGAGTGTGTTGGTTGAACAGGAATAATAGTTGCCATTTATTGGAGTAGAAAGCTGGTGTTTTAAGTGATCTCATTTAATGCTTACAACCATTTTGTAGATGAGTATTACTCTCCACGCTTTCATAAGAAGCAATCAAGGCTAACAGTGGTCAAATGTGTTGCTTTGCATGACATAGTTGATAAGAGATAGAGCCAGGATTTGAATCCACATCTTCCTGGCTCCAGAGTCTATATTTGTTCCTACCCCGCCCCCCAGTGACTCCCTTAATATTGAGATCATAGTCTACTTTCTCTGTTTCCATTATTCAAGTCATTAGTGCCCTATCTAGAAAATAACTAAGTGTTCCTCTTGACATTTGAAGAGTAGCTGATGTTGCCATAGATTGTCCTTATGGATGTCTTAATGTGAGATGTGTGTGGTGTGTATGAGAGACACATACTGACCTATTGAAGCATGGAAGAGATCATTTCTATAAAGGCACAGAAGATGCGACAAACTCTTCTCTAGTAACACAGTACCTAAAGGTATCTACCTCACCCCAAACCCCTCAGTTAACTGGAGTTTTTCTCACTTTTCTGTGCCTTGGTTTCCTCATTTTTAACAACAGAGATAATAATCATGCCTAAGTCATAGGGCTTGGTGGAGGACTGATTTAATGCAGAGCATTTAGAACAGTACCTACTGGAGATGAAATGCTCAATGAGAATGTTTTCACCCATTCTGAATAATTCTTTTATGGGAAATGCAAATGTGTTGGGAAAATATTTTTTTTTTATCAAAACTGTATTCAGATAATGCAGGGGCATATTCTCCAGTTATCCTTTGATGAAGACAGTTTTAGCTAACCTATTACACCCTCAACTTCATGCTTTACCCACCATCAACACTGAAAAGAACTCCCTATACCCACCCAGCTCCAAGGGTGACATGTTTGAATCTCCATATGGTTAGAGGTGGGATGATTTACATTTTCTATCTATTTTACCTTTTACCATCTCCATGTATCATTTAATAAAGTGTTAATCAGTATTTATAAATAGATTTAAAGCACAAAAGGACAAAAAAGGCATTTTCTTTTTTTCTCTAACAAAAGCTGAAGCAAACTGGTGTGTACTTCTCCAAAGAGATACCCATGGGTTTATAAGTTTGATTGATGGGAGCCACTCATTTGCCAGCATTCTCAGCAACTGTGGCTGTCCTATGTTTGGTTTTGTACAAAAACCTTGTCTTTTACCTTCTCTGTATTTCACTTAGTGTAGTACACTTAGGTTGTACTAAAATTGGATCGCATTTTACGAAAGCATGGTGGAGATTAGGTGAATATAAATCTTTGGTCCATGATTAAAACTTCCATTAATAATATAAACACATGGCTGTATATGCACATGAAGAGTGCAATTTTGCAATGACTGGGTTTTGTCTTTAATGGAATATGTTCACGGGTGTTTTTCAGCAAACAGAGGATGATGAAGGAGTTCAGTCTGCAGCAGGACAACAAAAACAAATGAAACATCCCAGGAAGACCAGCAGCTGCCCAGCAGCTAAGAGAAGGCCAAGTATGTCACCATGGTTAAGCAAACAGGAAGGAGAGGGGAAACCCCATCTCTAGGGCTCAGCCATGTCAAAGGAAGTATATAATCATGTCCTTGAGGGATGGATAGATAATGAGCATGTCTGCAAGTGGAGGGGCAAGTTTCTACGTTGGGTCCAACCAATTGGAGTAGTGTAAGAGTCAGAACAAGCAGGTTCCAGGGCCACCTAGGTGGCCCTTTTGGTTAAGCATCTGACTTTGGCTTGGGTCATGAGCTCACGGCTTGTGAGTTTGAGCCCCACACCGGGCTTTTCAGCTGTCATTGTGGAGCCCACTTCGGATCCTCTCTCTCTCTCTCTCTCTCCCCCCTCTTCCCTCCCTCCATTAAATAAATAGACATTTTTTTAAAGCTGTAGAATAAACAGGTTCCTGAGGCAGAAAAAGATGATGGGCTCAACACCCGGATGGGTCTGCTCATATTCTGCTTGTCTTCACGTTGTGTTCCTGCCTTAACCCAGTGCAGTCTGGCTTCTTCTTCCCATGGTCCAGTGAGCCCATTAGCATCAATTTCACCAGTGGCTGCCACACTTCAGCATTCATTTCTCAAAAGTATGTGATATATCTGTTCACTCCCTGCTCCATGGAAAACTTCTTAGTTCCCAGACACCACATTCTCCTGGATTCCTTATCCCCTTGCTAGTGACTCCTTTTCCTTTTCCCTTTTCTGGTTGTTTCCTTTCCCACCTCTAATTCTTCAGGGGCCCAAAGCTGGATATTAGGCCCTTCTCTCTTCAACCCGCTATCTCCCAAGATGATTCCACACAGTCTTAGAATTTTAAATATTATTCACACCGCAAGAACTGTCAGCTTTACACTTCTAACCACAACTTGCTCCTGAACTTCAACCTCAAACACAACAGCTTACATGACCTCTCCAATCAGCATACATATCTAAAATGCAACTGGTTCTGCCTGAATTTCTGACCTTCCTCTTCTCCACAAATGCTCTACTTTCAGCCTTCTCGATCTCAGCTAATAATACCATCCATTGGTGTAACATTGATAAAGGGGTAACAACCTGCTGTCCAGAGGTATGGGAGCCATGGAAGGTCTAGAAGCTCCAATATTTATATTTGCAGATATCCATAATATAAATAGTCCCACCATGGCCTAGTTCAAGCTACCAACCTGAGGGCACTGAACCAGAATCGGGAAAGATTGACCACATTTGTGACGCTTGTGAGCGAGTGCCTAACAGCCTACACACACCTGGCACTATTATTTCCCCCAGGGATTCAGGCCAACACTTAGATTCACTCATGACTCCTCTTGTTATTGTTAGTCTTCTCTCACCTCCATCCTTTAGCAAGCGCAGGCAACGTAACCCCCAGTATCACCCTTTGTATCATCCTTTGCTATGTCACCTTTTGTCCCCATCCCTCTGGTCTGTGCTGCCACCATCTGTCCCCAAGCTGCTACAACAGCTTCTCATCCGATTCCCCTGCCCTCCCACGTGGCGCTCCTGACCCATCACCGCCCCGCAGCCAGAGTGACCCTGTGCGCACGGAAATCCCTTCATGCCACGTCCACCCTGAAGCCCGCCATCCACTCCCCCGAGCGCTCAGAACAGAATCGGAGCTCCCGACGCTGGTCTACGCGCTCCGCAGGACCCGGTCCTGCCATCCTCTCCTGCGCGTGTCCTCTGGGGGGGGGGGTCCTCCTTGCTCTCTCTGCCTCTGTCCTTTCTCCATGGCCCCGGCTCGTCCCCTCCTAGGGGCCCTGCACTGGCCCTCACGGCAGCCGGAAGTCCTCCTCCTCACGTGCACGGGCCCCCATCTCCTGCTCAGGGGTCAACTCGTCAGAGGGCCCTGCCCGACCACGGGGTCATGGAGGCTGTCTGTCTGTCTGTCACATCCCTGATGTCTTCCTTCCCAACGCAAAGTCACACTGTATTATTTCCTTTGCCCATTTTATATGTACCACCTGACCTCCCCATGAGCATGTAAGTTCCATTAGGGTAGGGATTGTCTCAGTGCCCATCTCCCAGCATTTGGCAGTGTCTGACACAGAGGAGACTGAGTATATGAGCAGAGGTGTTAGACTTGGAGTAAAAGGAAATTCACCTTTCTGAGACAGAAAAGACAAACGAGGAGGATTATACACTGACTGGGATTTTTGGTGATGGAGTGCCTATATCAGATATCTCGACATCAAGTGAGATAGATATTCAGCTTTCCACCTTGTAAAGGGCATCGAGGAGACATTAAATCATGAGTGTCAGGGCTTGTGAATGATTGTTTATTAGTTGTACAGTCCAGCTGCGTTTCTGTATCATTCATACTGCCGAGAGACAAAAAGTGACTTAATGTTCAATCTTCATGCAGACTGACTTGTGGGATCTGATATTTCCACTCGGTACATACTTCTTTTATTTTTTTAATTTTTTAAATGTTTATTTGTTTTTAAGAGAGTCAGAGACAGAGCGTGAGCAGGGGAAGGGCAGAGAGAGAGAAAGACCCAGAATCTGAAACAGGCTGCAGGCTCTCAGCGGTCAGCACAGAGCCCGATGCAGGGGCTCGAACTCACGGACTGTGAGATCACAACCTGAACCGAAATTGGATGCCCAACCAACTGAGCCACCCAGGTGCCCCATCTTGCTACCTACTTCTGCTTTAAGAAACAAATAATTGTCTCAAAAGTGCAGAGCACAGGGATGTCCCTCTGGTGGTGATAAAATGCACCTACCTCACAGCTCAATCTCTTAATTTGGTTTTCAGGTGCTACTGCCACTTCCAAAGTCCATGACAAGAAGATGAAAAACACCCCGACCCCAGCTGGTGGCTTCATGCCGAAACCTGCTGCACCAAAAGTGATGTACGGGGGAGGACATGGTATTAGTAATTCACCTGGAGGAGGAATCAAAAATGCCAGCGACTCTGTAGGTGACCCCGAAGTCTCGGCCGAGTCTTCAACAGGAGCTGTGACAAATGAAGGGCCCATAAGTGCCGCTTTGGCACGGAAAATTAATGAGGATATAAAATGTCAATTGATGAAGGAAGTCCGGAGGTTTGGGCGAAGTAAGTCGTGGAAGAATGGCTAATAATAAAACCATGGGGAAGTCTCTCTCATTCAATGATATACAATAGATCCAGCACCACGACCCCCACCCCCACCCTCGCCCTTGAACTCATCCTCTGGCTTAACTGGGTTTTCACATAATTTATTTATTTATCCTTTAAATAGTTTATTGTCAAGTTGGTTTCCATATAATACCCAGTGCTCATCCCCACAAGTGCCCTCCTCCATGCCCATCACCCCCCTTTCCCTTCCCCCCACTCCCATCAGCCCTCAGTTTGTTCTCAGCATTCACATAATTTAGAAGGGTTTCTCTTTAATTGGTCTCGAAATTCCTAACACACATCTTAAAATTGTCTGTTTGGCTTGCTTGGGGCTTACGATAGTCTCCTTAGTGAGCATTTCAGACTCAAACACTATGCAATCCTCCAGCCCATGAGGAATGATTGCTGAGACAACGGAGGCACTAAGAATGAGTTCTGTACCATGTTCATGTTTTTAAAAAATACTGATCTTTAAAAATCATTTTCAGAGTATGAAAGGATTTTCACATTGTTTGAAGAAGTGCAAGGGCCTCTTGCACTCAAGAAGCAATTTGTTGAATTTACCATCAAGGAAGCTGCAAGGTGGGTGTCAAAAGGAACTCTCCTTTTTTTTTTTTTTTTTTTAAGAACTCCACAATTTTTGTTAAAAAAACGTTGTGCCCCATGCTGAACAGGGGCAAAACCAAGCTCTGGCTTGTTTTCCTCAAACCCTGGCCCTCAGTTGTAGTTCATGCTATTTCCCTCGGCATTTAGGTTGACATTATCTTAGTCTATCCCATTCTCTCAAGCCCATAGAATGTCCATGCTCTTCAGAGTCTGGAGGGTGGGGGTGGGCATGAAGTCTCAACTGATGACACTCTTGGCATTTCGCTAGTCTACATTTTTCTAAGAGGATGCATTTTCTATTCCCATGGAGACTGTAGGCTCTATTTTGTATCCATGACTATGTTTAACACGTCATGGATGCTTTAGGTATTTTCTGGTTACTTAAATGTCTTTATTTTCAGGTTTAAAAGAGTAGTCTTGATTCAGCAGCTTGAGAAGGTACTAGCAAGAATAGATTCCTTCTGCTGCCTCAAGAAAGCTAATCCCAAGAAAAGCAGAGACGTGTGTTCTTGCAAAGACCAGTGAGAAGCAAGGATGAATTTTCTATGCTGTGAGCTGGAAGAAAACATTGCTGAAGCCTCCTAAAATGTGATCAAGAAAATGGCCTGCTAGAGGCTAAGATGAAGAGCAATGGAGCCTTTTAATTCTATGGTTCTCCATCAGTAAAAGCTGGGCTCTTGCCCTAAGAATTTCCTATGAAAGTACAGTTTGTTGTTTGTTTCTTTGTTTGTTTTCTTACCTGAGGAGAAGGATGTTATGAACCTATCAAGCTGAACATTATGATAGTGCTGGTTTCTGTAGCAGGTCCCATGGTTGTAGCTGGTATTTACACCAACTTTCTTTCACTACCCATTTCTCATTCCTTTCCCCCTGAGATAGCACCTCAGGTCACGGTCGGGGTTCTTTGCCTGGTAGCATGATTCAAAACTTAATTGCTGAAGCATTTGGGCCACTAAGATGTCCCGCCTTAAATGGGTTGTTGCAATTCTCCATGAACTAATCACACGGTGTGAGAGTAGTGAGCTCTCTGGACATACTGGACATATTCTTCCTTAGCTCCTTGGGTAGAGGGAGCCCAAATTCCCTTTGATTGTCCGGTGTCATGACCCCAGCCAGTACGGGACCCCTTTCTTTGCCTTTTGATGGAGAGGGCTGAGGGAACCAAAATGGCCGGCTAGCAGTCTCAATTCCCTCTCGATGGAGTCACTGTTGTGTTCCTTGGTGAAAGCTTTTCTCCCTTTGGGATGAAGACCTCTGGTTCAGCAAAGCCTAAAGCAATAGGCATGAGAAGGTTTTAGGGATAAACTGACAGGAGGCTATTTCCATTTCCACCCTTTGATTTCAACACCTGTGAATCCTGACTACAGGAGAGAAAAACAAATTATGTCAGATGCTGATATACAACAAATACTCCTCCTTAGGAGTCATTCCTTCTAGGCCCGGTGGCTTAGTCAGTTAAGCATCCGACTGTGGCTCAGGTCATGATCTCACAGCTCATGAGTTCGAGCCCCACATCAGGCTCTGTGCTGACAGCTTGGAGCCTGGAGCCTGCTTCAGATTCTGTGCCTTCCTCTCTCTCTGCCCCTCCCCTGCTCATGCTCTGTCTCTGTCTCTCCCTTAAAAATAAATAAACATTTAGAAAAATTAAAAAATTAGGGGCACCTGAGTGGCTCAGTCGGCTAAGTGCCCAACTTCGGCTCAGGTCATGATCTCATGGCTCATGAGTTCAAGCCCCGCATCTGGCTTTGTGCTGACAGTTCAGGTCCTGGAGCCCACTTCAGATTCCATGCCTCCCTATCTCTCTGCCCCTCCCCCGCTTGTACTCTGTCTCTTGTACTGTCTCCAAAATAAACATTAATTTTTTTTAATTTAAACTTTTTTAAAAAATTATAAAAGAAGTAATTACTTTTAGCATAATCTCCCTTCCTGCCATGTTGGCGACTTAGCACTTGAACCCACTGGTGATGATACAAGCACTGTAGAAAGAGGCTGATTGAGATCTACTTAATGGATACTTTATTCATTAGATTACTAAGCTTCTGCACTGGTAAGGCTATTCTTTCCTCATCACCCTCATGAGACACATTTATCTTCACATCGGGTGTCTATCCGGGTGAGGGTATCCACATACATCCTCCCCCTGGCCTCCTTGTCACAAATTTTCAACCACGTATCGTCAAAGTCCCTGACCATTCAGCCAATGACTTGAACACATCCTATACGTGTCCACGCACTTGTACCTCTGCTCAAAATCTTCCCTTTGGGAGGCTTACCCTCTGCTGTCCGTCAGGGCTATCCCAGGTGGGACTGTAGTGCAGCCACTGTCCACTTTTGGCTTGTGTGGTAGGCAAGTGCTGTGAACTGAATGTCTGTGTCCCCCTCTCCACATGCATATGTTGAGGCTCTAACCCCCAGTGTGATGGTATTTGGAAGTGGGGTCCTTGGGATGTAATTAGGTTTAGAGGAGGTCATGAAGGTGGAACGGCCATGATGGGATTAGTGCCCTTGTAAGAAGAAAACAGAAAGCTGGTTCTCTCCCCGCACCATGTGAGGACACAGTGAGAAGGCAGCCATCTTAGTCTAGTAGGGCAGCTCTAGGCTGAGTGACTTGAAAATAACAGAAATGTATTTCCCACAGTTCTGGAGGCTGGGAAGTCCCTGATCAAGGCACTGGAAGATTCAGTGCGTGGTGAGACCCTGCTTCCTGGTTCACAGACAGTTGTCTTTTCATTGTGTTCTCACACAGCTGAAGGGATGGGGGAACTGTCTCGGACCTCTTTTATAATGGCACAAATCCTATTCACGAAGATCTGCCACAAAGGCCCCACCTCAAAGTACATGACATTGATGTGGGGAAGAGTAGCGATCCCATCTATCTGCTGACTCACTGCCTGACTCCGAGCACAAACCAAGGAGAGTCCCTCCCAGCCACTGAGCCCAGCAAGACAGGCCCCCACCTCCAAGTACCATCATGCTGGGAATTAGGATTTCAACATATGCATTTAGGGTGGGGACACACACACATTCAGACTAAGACAGCAACCATCCACAAGCTAGAAAGAGAGCCCTCACCTGACATTGAGTCTGCCAGCACCTTAATCTTGGACTTCCCAGCCTCCAAGACAGTGAGAAATGGATTTCTGTGGTTGAAGTCACCCAGTCTATGGTACTGCGAGATTCTAATCATGCCTTCCCATATTCCCATTTCTCATATCAAACATACAAGTACAATGTACAAGTGCCACTCTGGTGGGGTTTTGCTGATGTAATTAAGATCCTGAGTCAGTTGATCCTGAGATACAGAGAGAATGTGGGTGGCCCTGACCCACTCAGGGAATCCTTTCAAAGCTTTTCCTTACTGAGGAATGGAAGAGGAAGTCAGAGAGACTCAGAGTACAGGAAGCACACCAGGGGGGGTTGCTTCTGTTCTCCAGTCCCCTGTTCATAAGAAGCTCCCCTGGAGGCCTTAGGTGCAGGAGCAGAGGACTTTCTCATGAACTAGGCCCCACCCAAAACTAGCAGGTTTTCAGGCTCCTTGAAAACTGGCTCATAATAGCACAACAATGAGGAATATGATACCACCTGAACCACCAAGTCCCACTGCTTTTTCATGTCCCTTCTAAGGTAGGAAAGGATAGTTGTCACAGACTGTTGTTCACAATCAGACATGCTCCACAATCCTCATTTTCCATCTCTTCTATGATTTCAACTTTTTGTTTTACAGTGCACTAATATTATCTGACAGTTGTTCTGCTGTCTTTATCTCCCATGTGGAATGGAAGATCCATGAGAAGAGTGTCTAGTTCACTGTCATTTCACACCTAGATAAGTGGCTGACACTTAGGTTCTAACAACTATTGAATGAATTATTTTTAACCCTCAGACAAGCAGGGGAGGTGGATGTTGTCAGGAACCTCAGGTCACCGGAAGGGATATGGAAACAAAGACAATAGGTACGGAGCCCCCATCATGAGCAAATGAGGGGGTACCTAGAGGAATCACTCAGAGCCAGGTTTGGCTTGAAGCCAAGCCCTTGTGATGCCTCAGTCTCCCATTGGTCCCTATTTGTCATCTGACCCTGGATCTGGAATATTCTTTTTTCACACTCCCTCCCTGATGGGAGATCCCAGGGCAGGGAGGCCTGGCTCTCATCTCCCTCAGCCTCTGCCCCAGCTCTTCAGCACTGACGGCTCCCAGGGAGGGCTGTCCTGTCCCACAGGCCTAAGCCTGTGTCTCTCGTCGAGTCCCCGACCCATAGGGGAGTCTGCTTTCTGTGTGTTCCCCCAATTAGATCACTGACAACCAGGAAATGACCCCCGCGGACTGCTGTCTGCCCCAGAGCTTGTAGCCTCTCCTAGGTTCTGGGCCATGACCGTCTCCTACTTGCCGCCCCAGCCCTGAGCCGCACATGTGCAGAGCACCTCAAACGTGCTGGGATGGGCTTTGGCTTCGACCACCCCGCTCACCTCAACCCCACAGCCACCTTATGAGGCAAGGGCTCGATTTCCACTTAACACCCAAGGAACCCTAGCCCCAGGGTGCATGTCCTTGCTCAAGGTCAGACAACTGGAAGGGAGTTGAAGCCTGCGTTAAACCCGGGCATCCCTCACTCCATTGCGTGCGCTCACGAGAGCTCTGCCACACCGTGCCCGCACTTCACAGAAGGGAAACTGAATTCCTCACTAAATTGACACCTAAAGACTAAAGAGCATGAACATCTTACCTCGCCAAGTGAGGAAGTTGTTAACCTTAAAAATAAAACCGTCACTTATTTTGCCAGCAAAGTGCATTATTTGAGAATAGCTGAGAATTGCAATCTGGGCCAAGCAACTCCAGCAAAGCCACAGGCAATTGCAGAGAAGAAAGCAGAGGCAGGCTCTTTTACAGAGGGGAGGGTGCAGTTGTGAACAGCAAGTCCATTGCAGTAATGTCAGGGTTCTGAGTGTAGAGGCTTCTCATTGGCTGAGCTGTGACAGGTTGTCATTGGCTGGGCTGTTGCTGGGCAGAGGAGAATCTTTCTTCCTCCTGCTGGGATGGTAACACAGTAGCTGAAACAGTGTTGACTTGCAATGTACCTCTCTTCCTGTTGGTTTCACTATGGGCCACAGATGGTAACAAGTGAGAGCTCCCCCTCTGGGCTCTTGACCCCAACGTAGTGAAGTTTCTCTTTATTGACTTTCATAAAGTCCGTGGCAAGACCCCGTTTCATCTCCAAGTACAGCATGAGGCCTCCCCGGTTCGAGAGACCAGCACAAAAGGCCGAGTGCTCCTGGGCAGACACTTGGAGTCTCTGCAACACGGAGCGGGTCAAGGAATAAGGATGGCTTAACTTCCGCAGGCCTGTGCCTAGAACAGCAGTCTCTTCAAGGGGAACTGACTCGGAAATCCAGTTCCCATTAACAGCGGAGAGTCTGCTGAAAGCTAGAGCCGACATCTCACTTGGGACAGTGTTCCTGCCCACCCCCACCCCCACCGAGCATGTTGACCTGTGGCCTAGCTCTCTGCACGGTGAGAGTGTCTGCCTTGTGTTTTGGGCTCCTCAGAGTGTGTCTCCGTGTAGTGGTCACACGGCACTAAGGAGCCCAGCTGCCCCTCCTCATCTCCCTCCTCATGAACCCACAAATTTCTGGGTGTCGCTGTGTCCAGGCACTGAACGCCCTAGGAATAGCCGACTTCCTCCACTCCTCCTTAGGTTCCATGGAATAGAGACTTCACCCCTATTGTTGTGAGGAAATTCAGGCGAAGGTAAGTGGCAAAGCCAACTCTTACTTGTTGGGAACAGGTAACCAGCAGGGACGCTGGAGCCGTGAAATGGTTTTAGGAGCCTTGATGAGGGGGATAGGATTAACCCCAGGTGCTAATCTCTCTGCCCTTCTCCCATGACAACTTACCCTGATGGTGAAGGAAAAAGCCTATAAATAACAAGTAGATCATCTCTGATGATCAAAAATCAGAGTCCCGTGTAATTGTGCCCTTGGATGTGCAGCAGGTCTCTGCTTAGTTTTTTAAAATAGAGGTTTATTCCTCTTTAAGAGAGGGGGAGAGAGAGAGAGAGAGAGCGTGAGCTGTGGAGGAGCAGAGAGAGAGGTACAGAGGATCTGAAGCGGGCTCCCTGTGGGCTCTGTTCTGCCGGCAGTGAGCCAGATGCAGGGCTCGAACTCACGAACTCTGAGATCATGACCTGAGCCAAAGTCAGGTGCTCAATCAACTGAGCCACCCAGGCACCCCAGATCTCTGCTTATTATACCTGATGTTCTACTTGTAGTAGACTTTCCACCAGCTCATTATGCAATTGATGTAATCATGAAAAGTGATGGTCAGGGAACATAAGAAGGGGAAAAGAGTTATCACCTTCTAGCAAAAGTCTCTGATGCGGGCAGCAGCAGGCTGCACAGACCGTGTCTAAACTGCTTTTTTTTTTTTTTCCTCTCTTTTTAAAAAATGTTTATTTAGGGGCGCCTGGGTGGCTTAGTCGGTTGAGCGTCCGACTTTCGCTTAGGTCATGATCTCGCAGTTCGTGGGTTCGAGCCCCGCGTCGGGCTCTGTGCCGGCTGCCAGCTCAGAGCCTGGAGCCTGTTTCAGTCTGTGACTCCCTCTCTCTCTGATTCTCCCTTGCTCACTCTTACTCTCTCCTAGAAATAATAAATAAAAAATATTATTTAAAAAATAAAAAAAATAAAAAATAAAAAATGTTTATTTTGAGAGGGTGTGAGCAGTGTAGGTGCAGAGAGAGAGGAAGAGAAAGAGGGAGAGAGAGAATCCCAAGCTGGTTGTGGGCTGTCAGCACAGATTCTCACCCAGGGGCTCAATCCATGAACCCTGAAATCATGACCTGAGCCAAAATAAACTGTCAGCTGCTTAACCGACTGAGCCACCCAGGAGCCCCAAGATAAATGATATTCTGATTATTGAATACAGGCTTCTATGTGAGGCCATGATCAAGACTCACAGTATCTTTCAATCTATACATTTGCTATTTGGGGCCTGAGCTGAGCGAATCGGCACATTCTGATCGAGGCCCCTTCCAGAAAAATAAACGGTGCGGGTGGACATGGGCACGAAAGGATTCCATCAGGTAACGCCTAGCACCCCTCCTGGGAACGCCAGGCAAGATGCCACCCCGTTGTCCCAGAACATGGGACTTAAGTAGCATGTAACTGCGGAGCCCTGGCAGCCACCTTGCGATCATGAGGAGGAGCCAGAACTGGGATGAACATGGCTTCCAGAAAGCAGAGGAGAACCTGGGGAAGAGGCCAGGCCCTTTGTCATATGATTAACATAGGGTTTGGCATTGGCGTGATGCTAATCGGCATGTAGCCGTTGGCTTCTTGTCTCCTGTTAGCCAAAACGGGGGGAGTCTTGTGCTCCTGTGCTTTAACACCACCTTTGCCAAACAGTGTCCACAATGGCAAGTCAAAAGGAAAGCACAAAGTACATGTGGAAACCACCCGAAATTGTACCACTTGGTAACAAGCACTTTTCACGTCCAGCATTACAGAAGCTGGAGCCCTCTCATCAAAGGCAGTGCTCTTGCTGCAGTTTGTGCTTAGTGTGAAGAAATTCTGTTTGCTGCATTCCCCCAGGGGGCCCCCCTCTGCTCTGACAAGTCAGACACTGCAGGGCCGCCCCGCGAGGCAGAAGGGCTCCTTTCTGCACTCCTGCGGGCAGACACCGTGGAGGATGCCAGGCGGGAACCCTGAGAAACTCGAGGGGGGCCGCCTGGGGTGGGTCAGCTGTCGGGACTCACTGGGCTGCCGTGCTGCTCAAGCCTCACGTGGTCACGTTAATGCTGAAGGCCCCAGTTTCAATGACCTTCAGCATTGTAGGTTCAATTCCCACTGGCAGCTTTGCATTTAAAGTGAAATGCAGTAACAGTTTTGCAGTTACAATGTCACGAAGTTACATGTCCAGGGAATGAGAGAGCTCAGAAAGATGGGTTCACACCCAGGGCTTATCAATTGTGGGGTGAGGGAAGTAGCAGCCAGTCAGCCTCTGTGCTTTCCCAGGACTCCTGTTTCCCCGGTTCCTTGCGACCATGGTTGGACAGGGCACGTGGGGCCTCCGGGCATGGATTTCAGTGACCCTCAGTTCTCGTTCTGGCCACTTTTAATGTGACCAGCCCCTTCCTCACCCGATCGCTTTCATGAGATGGTCCTCTCTCAAGTAAAGGATTTTGATGAATGGATGATATGAAAGGCTCCTGGGAGGGGCCCGGGTAAGGCCCCTGTACTGCCAGGCGGTACCCCCTGCCCTCCCCCCCTATACCCCCCAGGAATCTTGTGCTTGCTGATTCCTCCCAACCCCCATATCTTCCCTTCCTTACCTTGTCCCTAGTTTTTGCCAGATTTATGCCTTTGTTGAAGGCTTTCCGATGAGAACGCGACCTCCCGTTGACCCGAAGCTGGCCCCAGGCCATAGGAGGCCCCTCACCCCCTCCCTTATGCTTGAAATATAAGTTCGCTCCACCCTAGGAACTGTTTCAAGGTTGCAGCCTGAGTACAAGGGGGCGCTGGGCCCATCTGGCCGGTGTCCGGGGTTAAATCCCATAGAAACTGTAAAGGTTCTGGCGAGCAGAGCGGAGCAAGTCTTGGAACTCCCAAGGGCAGCCGGGTATGTAATCCCTTGCTTATTAAACCTGCCACGACCCACGGGGAGTGGCCTGTCTCTTCCCAGTCTCTGCTAGGCCTCCCTTCAAGGGGCCAGGGACTGAGTTCCCCCAGAAGCTCTGGAGAGAACTGACAGGGGGCCAGTGGGCCAGGAGACCAGAGAAGTGGGTCTGGTGAAGGAGGCGTCCTTGGGGAAGCCCAGGGTTGGCCATCCACCTCTGTATGGGGAGGTGGGAACGTCCGTCAGGTGCTTGGGGACCCCTGCATGGGGATGGGGACATCCTGAGGGCGCCGGCCGGGCTGATGCCCTTGTGGGGGTAGCTGCACCGGGTCACCGGGACAGGGACATACACCACGGCTGTGCAGCAGGCCGGCCTCTGCTGTGGCCACGTCGGCGGCCACCCGTGCCCAGCAGCAGGCCACAGCTTGGGAACAAGGGAGGAAGAAGAGTGCCCCAGTGCACTGCTCCACGGCCTGGGGGTGGCAGACAGGGCCGGACAGCAAGACGGCATGTTGGAGACCTCGCGCGCCATTTTGCAAAGTTAGGAGGCACAGGCCGGCCGCGGATTCTGGTCTGGGGACTGGGACAAAGCTGACGGACCGCTGAGCGGGAGGCCCCTGGGAGGCGGCACTAGTGATGGGTGAGGACGTGGATGTGTGCCCTGTGCTCTCCGACCCCTGAGACACAGGAAATCAGACTCAGCAGTGCAGCCCCAGGTCGTGGAAGCACAGTTGGTAAAAGGCTTGAAGAGAGCTCATATGCCCTCCGAACTCACTGACAAGACCCGGGCAGGCATCTACGTGTGGTGACTGTGGCCGTGGGATACAGGGTGGTGGCATTCTTGACCCAGGAGCCCAGAACCCTTTGTGTTGACAGTTGGCCTGATCTCAAGGGACGACCCCCAGGCATGGCCAATGGGAAGCTGAACCCCGAGCAACGACCCTTCGCAGAGACAGCAGATTTCCTGTACGGGAAGGGGGGGGCTGCACCACAGCACCAGGCAGAATGGGCCTTGAAAATGCAGCCACTTGGTTATGGCACCAACAGCATGTCTTGTGTATTCTAAGCAAAACCCAGGGCTACTGCCAAAGGAATCTGGGGCCATCCACCTGAGTTCCCAATGGGTGAGAAGTTGATTACATGGACCCCCTCCTTCCCAGTGTGGGCTCTACATATGCCCTGCAGAGTGCGGACAAACACCTGGCTTAATGCAAGCCTCCCCAAGTAGGGCCAACCAGGCCACCATTATTAGGGAATCGCAGAGACCGAGGACTGAGCACAGATGCCCTTGTCAAATAGTGACCAGGGTCACAGTTTAAGGGTCATGATATGCAAGACAAGGCAGATGACCATGACCTGGAATGGAGTTTCCATCTCCCCTGTGGCCTGTGGGCAGCAGTTTGGTTGAGATGAAGCCTGGGATATTAAAGATTAAATTGTTGACAGGTAAAACCACCTTGGTCTGGTGGACTAAAGTACTGTCCCAGGCTTTAATATATTTCAATGAGCAACTAGTACGGCCCGTGTGTTACCCCATACACCAGACTGGGGACCCTAATGAGACACCCAGCATCATAAGGGAATGGAAGTCTTGGGAGGGGGAGGCAGCCATTGCCCCGACTCTCATGGAGGATCAATGTGCTATGCCACCAAGGCCACCGAGCGCCATCAGGCCTGGGAGAGGTGTTATCTGCTGGAATTCACAATGGGACATCTCGCAGGATGCGTGTTACATTTCACATGTGTGAGTGAGGGCAAGTGCTCAATCTCCACTGGGATCCCATTGCCTTGCTGCAGGCTGGGCCTATGAAAGGCATCACCCCTGCAGTGGGACCCGCGCCACTGACAGGAGAAGGTGAGGGGCCTGCTCTGGCACATCCGGCCCCCAGTTTGTCTCCTTGCGCCTGACAGTGCTGCCTTTCCTGACGACGCGTGTGGTACGCCCAGCGTCAAGTGCCTGAAGCTGTAGCCACACGAACAGCTACGGGTCAGGCCACAAGTGGAATACTTGCACAAGGGGAAGAACTTCTCATACAAGCTCTTTCTTTATTTGTCTTTTCGACCTTTTTGATCTTGGACTTCTGTGGCTCCTGTGGTGTCTGTTTACAGAATGAGCACCTGATGCAAAGACCTATCTACAGTGGGCCACTCCTAGCTCCAGCAAAGGTACCGGTCCTAATCTTGGTGTAGCAAGAAAGCCACCAAATGAGCCGCCTGCTTGGCAAAGAAGCCCCTGGCTGTCGACTCAGTGCACTTGGTAGAAGAATAAACATACAGGATTGTAATAGCTGGTGTCGAGGGGTGGAGTGTTGGAGGAGGTCATAGAGAGGATGTGATTGCTGGGCTACATGCACCTATGTGACTGAACCCGCTTGAGGTTTTGATATAAACTCTGAAGGGTCTGGTGGGTGAATGGGGTGATCTCACCTCCCGCCAGTCAAAGGCAAGCGTGCTATGTAAATTTCCTTGCTTATTACACCTGATACCTACCAATTCGGAGGGGTCAGCCTGTTTCTTCAGTCTCTCCTTGTCCTCCATGTATGAGGGTCTGTTTGTTATTTCACCCGCTGGAGTGTCCAGTGTTGGAAACCAACAGGCTGTGTGGGAGATTGAGTCAGTACAAAATAGAGCATCCCTGGATGTAGGAAATGCTGCATGAAAATAATTTTCCCCTTTTGCACGTCGCCTTAATGGGAACTGTCAATGCTTAGAAAAGGTATTGATCACGAGTTCGTTCTAATATGGTGGGGCAAATTTGGGGGTCACCTTTGATTAAGTAGACCTTTTAGCTAGTCTGTCATACTGATAAGTCTCATGTGTCTATGAGTGACATTGAAAAGTGCCTTATCATAGGGCTCCTAGATGGACATATTTGAACTCTGTGCCATTGGAAATACGTGGATTAAAGATTTCCACCTCCTGTCCCCTCACTCTCTACAAGGCGCATTCTGCAAATCTCAGTTAATACTGCTAATGTTGTGTTTAAATCAAACTGGGAAAGGAAATGGACTTATTTCCCCTGAAAGGGTGGACACAGAATGGTTTCTGCTTCATCAGTGAGGTAATCATGTCTTCATTTGTCTCTGGTTGAGGAGTTCACATTCTGCTGGCAATCTAATTCATCATGTACAAGGTTTGCCCTTGGACTACACTTACATAATAACTTCCTCCATTTTCCCCATAGTCTGGATAGCAATGAGGCTGGGGCTCTTGAGAACAGAGTGTGTGTGGGGGCATGGTAAACCTTGGCCCCTGAGAAAACTCGTATTAATGATGCAGATGCAGGTTGTATACACATATGTACAATGTGGTTTTGCAATGGCTGCATTTTGTTTTCAAGTGTTTATTTAAATTCCAGTTAGTTAACAAACAGTGTATATTTGTTTCCCATGTAGAATTTAGTGATCCATCACTTACATAGAACACCCAGTGCTCATTACAACAGGTGCCATCCTCAATCCCCATCACCCATCTAACTCATCTCTCTGCCCACCTCCCCTCCAGGAACCCTCAGTTTGTTCTCTATGGTTAGGGTTGTTTTCTGGCTTGCCCCTCTTCCCCACCCCCATGTCGTTCTGGTTTTTTTTTTTTTTTCTTAAATTCCACACAGAAGTGAAATCATATGGTATTTGTCTTTCTATGACTGACTTATTTTGCTTAACATAACACACTCTAGCTCTGTCCATGTCATTGCAAATGGCAAGATTTCATTATTTTTGATGGTTGAGGAATATTCCATTGTACATATATACCACCTCTTCTTAATCCATGCATCAAGGCATGGACATTTGAATCTTTCCAGAATTTGGCTGTAGTAGGATTCTTGCACACAGAGTCGTGACACTGAGGCTTTTCTTTCCAGGAAGAAACTTTATTTATGCCGGCACTGCTCAGTTGGGTTCGTACCCAAAGAACTGAGCCCCGAACACCACGTGGTGTAGGTTTTTATATATTTATTACTTCTTTGTCTCCCATATATGGTAACACACACACATAAGTCTGATTAAGTGCTCTCATGTTACAAGGTCGTGAGGGATGTTGTCACATACATATATAGCAAGGTTGCCTTGAGATTTTTTTCTTTCCTTAGAGAGGGGACCCTACCACATTCCCCCCTTTAATGCTCAGACCCCTCTATTTAGGGTCAAAGTGCATCCCCTTGGTTTAGAGGTTTAGATAGGCTGTCTTGTCACAGCTCTAGTACAGTCCATCTGGGACCCACCATTTCATAGCTGTGTTGACATTGTCCCAGGTCCCTCAGAGATGAGAGACGTTAGACAAGGGGTTGGGATCTGGCTCAAGGTGGTCTAGGGTCCCCCACCATTGGGTTTTCCAGGCAGTTGAGTTATAAAAGCTTTGGCCTAGGCATGTTAAGTTTTTAACGGAGATGACGATGAACTTTTTCCCCACTAGGCAAGACAGTTTTTCCCAATAATTGAACTTTTGAGAAGCCAAACCCCAGTAGTAGGACTGGGGTATTTTGTTTTACTGTAAGATTTGTGGGAATCTAACTTTCTAGTCTCTTATGGCCATTGTTTCCCCATGTTGGTACCAACAAAGTATCCTATCCACAAAGGGAAGGGGAGTGTTAACAGAATTTTCTCACCACATTTTCAGCCGGCCAGGGCGGCCTCACCCAATCTTATGGCAAAGTGCAGAGCAAGAATCACAATAATAGTGCGAAATAAGGTGTGACAGTGCACCACAGTAAGGAAACATATAGAAAATAAGGACAGCCTTTAGTTTCACCAGACTGTCGATTCCTCAAGCTTCTGCCGTGCAGAGATTGTCAGCTTCCAGGGTGACTCAAGCAGGGCTGCAGTCTCCCGGAGCCTCTCGAGTTGCAGACTGCTCCTTCAGTGTGGTCAGCTTGCACGGCGTTGATGGAATCAGGAACGCGCTCCCAGATTCGAGAAGCCGGCTTCACTCTGCTGTAGTGAATCCAGGGACCTACTTCAGTTACCTTGACTGTAGTAGGGGTGGACAAAATGACCGTGAATGGG